AACTTAACATGAAGACAAAGGTGTTTACAATGAGGCTTAATGCTATTTCTAGAAGAAGAAAGAGGCAAAAAACAGAGGATTCTTCTAGTAATCAACCATGGAGCTATTAATATGGAGACATTGTACTTACTTTGCATAAAAAGAACTGCTTCTGGGAGAAACTAGAGTTCTCAGAAATCTAGAGTTCTCAGATATTGACATTTGAGGGGAGTTCTAATAGGGTCAGAAATAAGGTGGAATACAGTTTAATGTATTTTCAACCCAGTTCTATTAATGGTAAAACTGGCAGAGAAAAGCTAATAAGTCACTCCTGTGCCTGCCTTTGCTTTTGCCTGGCAAACCCGATGACATGCAAGGAAAAGTAGAGAAGAAATCACTCTTCATTAATACACACTTACCTTCTAGGAACTAGACAGAAGTCTCATGATTCTCATTTTCTTCTGTCCAGCTCCACTCCCCATCAAATTGCAAATATCAGTCTAGGCAGAAAGAGTACACAAGTTCTTTTGAAACAGATACATAGTATTTCAAATATAATGACCATGCCTTGGATTTATACAATAGCCTTTTTCTCCCAAAGACGCCATAGATATCATCCCTCCACAGTGGTAATTTGGGGAATTTTATAAATATAGAAACTGAGTCACACACTGATTTAACCATTCTGAAGCTGTGAGAAATATAAGAGTTGGACTCCAGCTCACTAGACAACTTGTCTACTAGATTGCATTACAATTGGAGTTCCAGAGAAGTTATAGATCAAGGAAAACCAGCAAAATCCCTACTAACTCAATGTCCATTATGTACAGATTGTACTTATTACCAATAAAAAAGACAGTTTCTCTAATTCTCCATTGATTTCACTATAGAAATTTATTAAAAATATTTGACAAGAGTCTGAAAATTAAATGAGGTAAGAACCATGAAAGTCCCCAGCAAAGTGTCTAACATATAGTTACTTCTCAACAAATATATTTTCTCAAAGACCATATTATTGGACTCAATAATATAATTCAATAATTCAATGAGAATCTACTACTAGAAAGCAAATATGCTACATGCCATAGGGAACACAGAAATTTGCTGCTGATGTTGTCTCCCTCAAGGAGCTTTTAATTTCATAGGACAGTTAAGACACAATCACACCTAATTACTGAAATATCTTGATAAAAGTGAATTAAGCATTTTAGGAGTTCTAGGATATCGATATCACACTAAAATATTTCTTCTCTTGCAGCCTTTATTGCATTTTCCACCATGCCAGAGCTGGCTCAGAAAATCAAAATGTATTTTGCTTTAGCTCCCATAGCCACTGTTAAACATGCAAAAGGCCCTGGTACCAAATTTTTGTTGCTGCCGGCTATGATGATCAAGGTACGTGACTCCTCAGATAATTCCTTGTCTAGGAAGAAGAGTCTTCTAACCCAATTTGCTAAAATACACACTTTCAAATTAGAGCCATTTCTTGACTAAAATTTAATGACTAATATTCCATTTCATATTTTTACAGGGATTGTTCGGTAAACAAGAATTTCTGTACCAGACAAGATTTCTCAGAAAGTTTGTTATTTACCTTTGTGGCCAGGTGATTCTTGATCAGATTTGTAGCAATATTATGTTACTTCTGGGAGGATTTAACACAAACAATATGAACGTGGTAAGTGGGAGCCTAGTAAATTCTGTTTCCCAAAGAAGAGTTATTAGTATCACTCCCTGAGAAGGTGTTAATGCCAAGAAAGACTTGGGGAAATGAGATACTCCAAGTAATTCAGTTTTCTTCAAATCATAGTAATAGGTGGGAAGCACTTCCATCTCGGCTGAGGCCAGGTTAACCAAAGGGCATGGCTAGATATTACCTTTCTAGGTTATAGAATGAAGAGGTCTGAAAGCAGCTTTACTATGGTGAATTAACAGATTTGAAAAAGTGATTAGAACCCAGCAGTCAAAAGAGAACTGCCATGTGTCACCCACCCTGCTTTCTACTCGGGTCTTTCTAGTTTGTAGTTTAAAGGAACACTCAGGGCTTCAGTTTGACTCAGGTGTATTTACCAGTTGGGGAGGGGGTCACCATGTGGGTTCCCCGGGAAGCACACTCCAAGATGGAGAAGGAAAGGAACAGGATTTGGTGGGTGAAAGAATCAAGTTGTAGTGGAGTCTCCATGGGGGTCTCAATTGATCCTACAGGGATGTGTGAAGATAGGATGACCCTGCGGAACTGTCCCAAGTTAGAGGAGAAGGGCTGGATCCTTCTATGCCTGCATCAGCCAGTCATGTGTGCAGATTGCACAGGGAGAGGGAGGCCTTGGGCAGGGCAGCTCTCTGCACCTAGGACAGTTCCCTAGGGAGACCCGAGAGAGGGGGCTCATTGTCAGCAGCACTCTCAGCAGCTGGAGGAATACATCTGTCTAATTCTTGAAGATTTTTCCCATTTCATTAAGAGTATGATTAATAGCTACCATTTGATAAGCATATTTATATACCAGGCAATGTTACTCCCTGTGACAACCCTATGAGACAGGTATTATTGATGTTCCTACTTTACAGGTTAGCATTCTGAGATTTAGTCGATTAAATAACTCTCCCAAATTCCCCTAAAAATTAAATGGTAAAGGTAAGATTTAAATACAGGATCTATTCTAGAGCCCTCACCCTTAATTATTCTAGTAAAATTTTTTTAAAGAAGTCAGAAGTCAGTTCTTCTCAGATGACAAACAGATAACCAGGAATGCATTTGGTGGCATTTTTTATTTATGTGCATGTGTATATTATTGTTTCATGGATAATTGCTGATAATTTAATGTTCCCATTTCTTAGTCTGACATCCTGGACATTTGATCTTGACAAGGTGCACATCTTGTGAGTTTTTCCATGTCCCACAAACCATTCATGCTTTGTTACAGAGCCGAGCAAATGTATATGTCGCTCATACTCCTGCTGGAACATCTGTGCAAAATATCCTACACTGGAGCCAGGTGGGAATGTTGAA